GTTCAAACCATCTTTTTTAGTCTCTTTCTTTTTCTCTATTTACGCCTTTTTTGGGAATAATGTGATAGAGGTACAAGCTTGGCTTCATCATCAATTGAAGTCCAATAAACCATAGAGTCTCCAGTAATTGAAAAGAAGCGTCATCGTGGTAATGCCTAGCATCTGAACTAACAAGGAGTCTCTGCCATCATGTGTCAACGTAACAAAGAAGCTTTCTTGGTTATTGGTTTGAGGGCTTTCAGGTACTTTAGAATGCAACTAAGATTGGAGCAAAGAATAGGATGACTTCGAAGGTTATGATTTTACGGCTAGGACAAATTATCAGCATGCACAAACTTCTTTCTCCGCCTGCGACTTCCGTACCGCAAATTCGACAATTTGATGGTAAAAAGCGCCAAGTAGCGTGCTTTAAGAGATCCTTATCAATGAGTGAAAAAGCCACATGGGTACATTACTTTGGAGGTTTCAGCTAGGCTGCAAGCTTCTGGTTTCACGGCAGAAATCCTGACGAGTTAGTTTGTTTTCGCTGTTCTGCCGTTCTAGTAACTGCTACCTATAGGACATCCCTCATTGGGCCATTCGTTGGCTTTTCGTTTGCATGGGTAAACGCTTGAGGCAGGCGCAGCGAAGCTGAATAACCTGCAGGAAGGCCTGAATTTTTGAAGAGAGCGCAACCTAAAAGAACCAATGCGCATATCTACTCTCCCAAACACGTGTATAAAGTCGGATTTGTTCGCAATTAGGCGATTACTTCGTTTTTCTAATGATTTAAAGGAAGAACTGTCGACGACTGAACTAAATAGCAATCACGCGATTTCAAATTAAAACACTATGGGTGGTTGAGTGGTCCACGATAAGATAGGACAGAATTCATTGCGAAGGACGGACTCAGAACCGAGACAATGGTACGCCCCCTTCATGCCCGTTATTTGGAGGCAACTCAGTTTGGCTGCGCACGCATTCGCGTGCATGAGACGGGGCTGCAGCGGTAAAATCGGGCCCATCAGTATTTTTGTCTTGATTTTAGCTTTCTGCTCGGTACATCTTACTTACGCCGCAAACTCCGCCCACATCCGGGTGTGCCACGCCCAGCGTTCACATTCAACCTCTACTCCTACTTTCACCTCTGGCGTATTTTTTTCAGGTCTCTAAGTCATCTCGGAGCCGAATTATGAGGTCTTGTAAATGGCGTTATGAGTCACGAATTTCTGAGGCAGACCCCGCCCACTTTGGTGCATGGTTAGCCCAACAATGGCATTCAACCCTACTCCATACCTCAATACTTATGCACATTTTCCCCGGTCGCCGGAACTTCTAGGAACCGAGTTATGAGAGCGGTGGCAAACTCCGCCCACATCCGGGTGTGCCACGCCCAGCGTTCACATTCAACCTCTACTCCTACTTCACCTCCCCTCCTCCTACTTTCACCTCAGGCATATTTTTTTTCAGGTCTCTAAGTCATCTCGGAGCCGAATTATGAGGTCTTGTAAATGGCGTTATGAGTCACGAATTTCTGAGGCAGACCCCGCCCACTTTGGTGCATGGTTAGCCCAACAATGGCATTCAACCCTACTCCATACCTCAATACTTATGCACATTTTCCCCGGTCGCCGGAACTTCTAGGAACCGAGTTATGAGAGCGGTGGCAAACTCCGCCCACATCCGGTGGTGTGCCACGCCACAGTTTCGTTACGATTCAACCTCTACTCCTACTTTCACCTCAGGGCATATTTTTTTCAGGTCTCTAAGTCATCTCGGAGCCGAATTATGAGGTCTTGTAAATGGCGTTATGAGTCACGAATTTCTGAGGCAGACCCCGCCCACTTTGGTGCATGGTTAGCCCAACAATGGCATTCAACCCTACTCCATACCTCAATACTTATGCACATTTTCCCCGGTCGCCGGAACTTCTAGGAACCGAGTTATGAGAGCGGTGGCAAACTCCGCCCACATCCGGGTGTGCCACGCCCAGCGTTCACATTCAACCTCTACTCCTACTTTCACCTCAGGCATATTTTTTTCAGGTCTCTAAGTCATCTCGGAGCCGAATTATGAGGTCTTGTAAATGGCGTTATGAGTCACGAATTTCTGAGGCAGACCCCGCCCACTTTGGTGCATGGTTAGCCCAACAATGGCATTCAACCCTACTCCATACCTCAATACTTATGCACATTTTCCCCGGTCGCCGGAACTTCTAGGAACCGAGTTATGAGAGCGGTGGCAAACTCCGCCCACATCCGGGTGTGCCACGCCCAGCGTTCACATTCAACCTCTACTCCTACTTTCACCTCAGGCATATTTTTTTCAGGTCTCTAAGTCATCTCGGAGCCGAATTATGAGGTCTTGTAAATGGCGTTATGAGTCACGAATTTCTGAGGCAGACCCCGCCCACTTTGGTGCATGGTTAGCCCAACAATGGCATTCAACCCTACTCCATACCTCAATACTTATGCACATTTTCCCCGGTCGCCGGAACTTCTAGGAACCGAGTTATGAGAGCGGTGGCAAACTCCGCCCACATCCGGGTGTGCCACGCCCAGCGTTCACATTCAACCTCTACTCCTACTTTCACCTCAGGCATATTTTTTTCAGGTCTCTAAGTCATCTCGGAGCCGAATTATGAGGTCTTGTAAATGGCGTTATGAGTCACGTATCTTCTGTGGCAAACCCCGCCCACTTTGGTGCGTGGGTCGCCCACTGATATCAGTCGGCTATCATCTCTTCCCAACCTTTTTCTACTTTTCTCCCATCTCTGGAACTTATTGGAACCGAGTTATGAAGTACCGTGGCAAACCCCGCCCACTTTGGTGCATGCTCTCCGCCCGCCAACAACGTTGACGTGCGTGGGCCCTTCCCTCTGCCAACCCTCATACGCTTTTTTCCCGGACTCCGGGACTCCTAGGAACCGAGTTATAAGCCTAATTGCAAACTCCGCCCACTTTGATGTAAGCCACGCCCATCCCTGACATTTAGCTTCCCCTCCCCTCCTGACCTCTATCCGTTGTTTTCCGTCTCTCTAAGTCATCTCGGAGCCGATTTATGAGCTCTTGTAGAAAATGCTGTCCGCTTCACGACACGCTCCGCCCATTGTGGGCGGGCCTCCGTTCACATCATGCGTGGTGGAAATACCTTAGGCATTGCTCCCCTGCACTAATTTCGTTCCTGGTCTGTAGGCTTCCTCTTAACCGAGTTATGAATATTTTCACTGAGCACCCATTTTCTAGAGAACGCCCCGCCCACCGAGGGTGGGTCTCCTCAGTTCGATCTGGCTTACCAACCCACACCTATGCCCACTTTTGTCCCGGTCTCGAGGCTGTTTTGTGACTGAATTTGAAATCAACCGATGCACGCCACGCCCACTGTGGGCGGGGCTCCGCTTGGCTGATGTGTGTTTTTTACTTCTAGGGATATGGTATACCCATCCCAAACTTGACCTGGACCCTGTAGGTTGTTGTTCGCTTGATACCGAATTTCGTGACAGACGGACAGACAGACATAGCGCATTATATATAGTAGGGATGATGCGACTCTCATCGCTGTGCCCTCTTCAACACTACGCTCTCTCAGCTATCTAATCACTCGCCACGTATTGAACTACGGCGAGTGATCAGATGATCGGTGGGCGGAGATCGCCGGACCCGCCAACTTTGAGGCATAATAGGTCGCCGAGGTCAAATTTTTCGATGCGAATTGCGCATCAGTTCGCACCCTCAGGAGGTCCGTGGGTTACTCAACTAGGTGAATTACTTCTTCCTCGACCTCCATTCTAATCGTAAAATCCTCCTTTAACTCACTTG